AGCTGCTACAACAATAATAACTAAAACAACAGCAACAATAACAATAACAACAGTAACAGTGCATCCTCTTCTCTTCATAAACATCTGAAAAATATCATTGCTGTTTGTTCGATTTAGTTTTGTAATTTAATTAATTTATATACGACGTTAACAATAAGAAGATCTGAATGACTTATATTGCATCTTTTCCAATAATGATTAAATAATTTTGAGTAGTATCGATTACTTTTATTACCAATACGAAATTAACTTATTGGTAAAAAGACATACTTGAAAATTATGATGCTTAAAAGTTACGGTTTTAAGCATCATCAGCCAGCTTCTTCTTTATTTCTAAGTAATCTTGAAAGGATCATTTGAATAAGCATTTATTTTCAAAACTTTTCTTTGCTATCATTCTCTTTAAATACTCATAATGAATGAATGAGTAAAATTTAAAATGATTTGATGGCTCCAATGGACAAAAAAAATTCGAACAAAGAAACGCTAGCATTGTTTGAAGATGTTAATTTGAAATATTGCAAGAAGAAAATAATACCAAAATATAAATTGAAAAAATAAATAAAAATTTTTGATAAGAAAAATAAAGGAATAACAAGTTTTTTCCTTCTTTAAGTAAGACGAGCTTTCCAGTCTTAAAATTCTTGATAATTATTTTTTTAGGTTTATTTTAACACGCTTATTTATCCGTGTCAGTATCTTTTTTCATGTTGCTAATGAAGCGAAAAATTAATTTGCACTGCAATATGATGTAAAATATAAAATGAATACAAAATGTGATTCTGATTCTGCATCAATAATTACTTTGCAAAGTAAAAAATGGCATGTGAAGAAATTTTTTTGAATTATAGATGGCAAAGAACTTCATTTGAAAATTACGCTTTCTTTTACCGTTTATAAAACTAAGAAAAAATTTTTGAAATTTTCTCAAATTTAAAATTATTTTATCTAACATTTAAAGCTCATCAAAGATGTTGTAAAAAAGAAATTATTTTGACGAATATTTATGTAATGTTAATTCGCTTTAAATAAGCATAAATTATGTGCTGATATTTGAAATTTTTTGCTTTTCGAAGTTGTCATTCCGGAAAATATCAGCAGAAAAAGCAAAGTGAAATAAGTGAGAGAGGTAAATTTGAATTCAAATCAAAATTTGCATCCTTAAATTGCTTGAAAATCGATGAATGAACAAGAAATGTTTACTAAAATTCTACTAATTATTTATTTAGACATTTTAAGCGGGGAAAATTCAAATTTCAATAATATATCCGGAAAAATCACGAATGCTGGAGAGTGAGAAGAGAGGGGTGAATACGAATATTGTAGATCAATCTGGTACAATCGGTATGTGATTAGTTCAAAAGAGCACTTTAATTCTTGGAAAAAAGATTGAAAATAAGAAAGGAAAGAGAACTGAATTGTGATTAAATCAGAATAAATTACTTACTTCGATAATACATCACTAACTGTGTCCAATGACAAGTTAAGTTGTATATGAGTGACCTAATAAAATAATTCAGAAAGTTTGCCAAAAGTAAATATGAGGTGATTTGCATTATTTGAATTTATAATTTATTGTCAAAATGATGACAATGATGTAGCAACAAGGACAGTAAAAGCGATAACGATAATAACAACGGTAGCAAATAACAACAATAACAACAACAATAGGAACAAATAATAGTAACAACAGCAAGAATAGCGACAAAAACAGTAGCAGCGATAACAATGGGAACAATAACAATAATATAACAACAACAATAACAGGAACAACAACAACAATATGAACAACAACAATAATATGAACAACAACAACAATATGAACAACAATAATATATGAACAACAACAATATGAACAACAACAATAATAGGAACAACAACAAACGATGGAAACATCAACAATGATAGCGACAGCAACAACAACAATAACAATATTAGTAAGAAAAAATAAACTGAAATATTATGAGTGCTATGTCGATAACAATATATTTTAACTAAATTTTTTAATAATGCATTAAATAAAATTTTTTGTAATTTCTTTTTTTTTTAAAATCCTTCAGTTTAGTTTAACTCTTTTGATATGTGAATGATAGTAAAGAATTCATTCTTCAATTTAAACTCATTTCTTCGCAATTTTTGTAATATTGCATGGCGATAGACGTAGCTGAGAAACACCTGTCGATCATTTTGTTTCAGTGCTAACTGGAATTGTGATAATTGAATTGATAATTATTAATGATGAGATACAAAATGATATTTACGAATGTAATTATCATTATATGTGTCATTTTTAGAAGAAATAATGAAAGAATAAAATATGTTTTAACTTTTTGATTACTTAAATTACGTCCTTTAAAACGATTGAAAAATGAGTGAAATTTTAGCTAAGCAAAAAAAAAAACGAGCAGCAAACCATGTTTTTTAGAAATAAATGAAAACAAAGCAATGAGAGTTAATTGGATAAAAACGAAAGTTCTTTTCCTCTTTTTCTTTCTTTCTTTTTGGCCAAAGTTTATTTAAATATTCAAAAAATATCATTCATAGTTAATATTTAAAAATACTTCACAGTTATAAGAAAAAGTGCTCCATAGCTAAAAATAAATTTTAAAAGTTCAAAAATTTATGACATTATTACGATTAAATTTTATTTAAACCTTATTAATAAAAAGATCTCATATGGATATGATTTAATAATATTGATAGTGATAATTATATCATTACCAATACTAATGATGATGATTTTTTTTACAATAAAATTTTCCTCCTCTCAAAATCTAAATATCGAAATTATCCTAATAGATAGTAATTATTATTTGTATAATTATCCATTTATTAATGTTATCGTGATTAATATGAATAATACTACAGCTTTTTTCATTCCAATTATTGTTTTCCTTTTCTTTTTTTGTGCTTATCGTTGTTTATCGTTGCCGCTGCGGCTGCTTAAATGCAGCTGTTAAAAGAAACAAGCGCAAATGACATATCAGTACATCCATTCTCATTGATTGCCATACTTTTCACACACAAAAAAGAAATTGTTCTCTTATTGTCTTCATAAGCTTAAATAGTAGCAAGCAAGCAAGCAAGCAAGCAGGCTAGGATGAGATGAGTGGGACTTGTTGAAATTCAATTCTTATTTTTTCCTACTCCTCATTTTTCCATTTAGCATCATATTATTATCGCTATTATCACTATCATTATTATCCAATTACTAAACGTAACTATTAGGAATATTTTGATAGAAAGTAAGTACTTTTCAAATTTAATTTAACGTTAAAAAAAGCAAAAAGAAGAGAAAAGAATGAAATAGGTCATAGATGAAGAGAGGGGGAGAGTGGGAGACAAGGAGAGAGAGTACATTTTTTTTTTTTTTTGAGCTATAAAACTTTAGAAATTTAGCACACATTTTTGGATATTTTGAAAGATTATTCATCCATGCTACCATTATTTTACAATACATTTCCATTCAAATGATGCTTACCTTATGCGGTATTGATGTTTGCTTTTGATTTATTTGCTTTTAATAAAATTGAATCGAATTTTATGAATTTATTTCTTACCTTTTTTTTTACAAATTAACATAATTTTCTTAATATTTCATTATTCAATTATCTTTGATCTTTATTAAATTCCTTATTATCCTGAATAATTCAATATTCAAGAATTATTTGTATTGTTTTTGATATTCCGATATTCAAGAATTATTTAATCGTCTTTTTTTTTTTGCTTAAGAATATAATTATAAAGCGTTATTTGCTTACAGGAATAAAATTAATTTCAATAAACAATGATCATTCAAAATTGGTTGAATTATTTTCAAAAATTTCAAACTAAAATTGTTGAAGCGGAATAAGTGAATGATCGATTGAATTGAAATGACTGATCAACGTTGCAATGGTAATGAAAATGCTGGTTAGCTTTAATATTTTGAATTGTCTTTTTTTTTTTTGCTTTTTTGCTCTTTTTTTTTTTTGTTTTATCTTCAATAAAAATAAATTTGCAGCGTTAAGGAGAGCTATTGAATGCGTTTACGAAGTGCTTCTATTAGTAAATGATAAATTAGTTGAAAATAACAGCTGTAGCACGCATTTTTTTTCACATTTACAACCAACATCTCTTGTGGCAATTGCGATATGATGAAGTGAATTTTTTGAAAATGATAATTTGTGTAATAATTCATTTTCATTTCTCGAAAATTTTATTTTGACAAGATCGTTATATTTATCCCACAAATTAAATCATTTGATTATTATTCTGATATAAACTTCACTTTTTAAATGAATAATATAAGATAGTTAGTGTTTAAGTGAAAATGAAGAAACAGTGATAGTGTGATGATGATGATGATGATGATGATGATGATGATGATGNNNNATGATGATGATGATGATGATGATGATGATGATGATGTTGGCAATATGATATTACGAATAATGATGATTTTTAATATTGAAAATTATTGTAAAATAAGCAGCCAATAAATTTAATTTCAGCAAGAATTATATAAAATCAATCAATTAGAAATCAATTTACCGTCGTTCTTCACAATTACTGAGTAATTCTGATCCCGATTACGAAAATTGATCAGGATATTAGGAATGGAAGATACAGGAATGAAAATTTCCATAACCCACTTATGTCATTTACTTTCGAAAAATTTAACCAATTATAATATATCAGGTAGAATAGAGTATAAATCCGAACATTTTCCTGTAACTTATTGGTTTCATACTAATTGAATTAATTGTTAATTAATATAACTACTTCAATTTTTCCAATTTTATTGAAATCATTTCACATGTTTTTGGTATTTATATGATGGGATTTTGCATAGGCTTTGCAAGAATAATTTCTAATAGATAAATTCCCAGATTTTTAAATCATTGCAATTTTTACTGACTTTACTGGATCTTCAAGTATCAAATCGGTGGTGGAATTAATCTAAAAACTTTAAAGTATAAATCAATTTTTGAAATGAAAATTTTCATTTATCATATAAGACATTCAATTCAATTTCGCTTTCATTATTTTTTCAAAAAAAAGATCATTCATCAGTTCAAAATATAAAAATATATTATCGTTGATTAAATTAAACAGTCTGAATTACTTAAGCAATTATTATTCACCAATTAATTAAATCATTTCTTCTTTGAATAAAAAATAACGAACGTAAACATGAGTTTAATCTAAACAAAACAGTAAAAGGAAATTTGATATTTTTCTTGCATATTATTGTCGGAAACAGTTAAAATGCTAGTCTCGAAGTTATCAAATTAAGCTCTCTTTAATTAAAATAAGAAAAAAGATTTTAACTTTTCTTTGCAGCTATTAAGAAAGATTTTTTTCCTTTACATGAAATTGATAATAAATATAAATTAGTCATTGAATTTGTTAGATCTATCTACCACTGTAACTTTCTATATCAACCAAAAAGAAGAAATTAAAATTTTAATGTTGTAATATCTGAAATGTTGATAATAATGACAATTAATGCTCGATATACATTATGATCACAAAATAAATATTTGCTACAACAAATAGCTACACTAACCGAGATTCTGAATCATGGATGGTAGATTCATGCTTAATCATTGGTAGTAGTTACACCACTCCTACACGTCAAGTAATACCTTAAATATGAATGAAATTCAAAACTCTGAACATCAAATGTTAAACAATTGATCGATAGTTTGTTTACTGGCTTCAATAATTTTACGATGAAAGAAAAAGTTCTATCTCAGTACATTTGAAATTTCAATTTTGTGGCCAATCTCTTCTTTAGTTTTGATTTCATTCTAATTTCATCTGTCATTCGATATTTTTCCTTTTTTTTTTTCAAAATTATCTGCGATATTTTTGTTTTATTCTATTACTATAATTGTACGTTTAATATGTTTCTGATTGCCAAATGGTTGTGTAGTTTATGATAAATTTCTAACATCAATTGCTTTTAATAATAGGAAAATGAATATTTTTGAATTGAAATTACAAAATTAACTAATTAATTGACGTTTTCTAGTTGCCAAAATAACAATTAGGGGTCGACAAATGTTCATTTTATGCATTCAATACTGCTTTTTTTGTTTTTGCCCAAATGCTCAAATGTTTCGAAAAAAATTCGTGTTTTTCTTTTGTTTAATTTTGAAAAATATGAAAATTGGCGAAATGTTTTTTAAACGTCTTAAATTTTACGATTCATTCAGATTCAACCAGAACAGATGTTTTCAATCAGGCACGTTGCATTGAAAAAAAAAAAAAAAGAAGCAACAAATGCCAAAAAATTATTCAGGCATTTTACTGTATGATAGTAACAAAATTTTTAATATTTTAAAATCATTCCTCTTATTTTTAACTTTGTAATTTTTGCAATCTAAGCTGAACTAACATCTAACATAATTATAGTTATTTTCAATCATTGACAGTCACGTCTCGTAATATTATCCTCAATCGTTGCTATTCTATCATCATGATATATTATAGTTACTTTCAGTTTTTGATATCAAGATATAGTTATTCTCAATCGTTATAGTCAACATCATGAAAACTTATATAGTTATTCTCAATTTTTGATATCACGATGTTATAGTTATTCTCATTCGTTGTTGATCAATCATCATGAAATATTGTAGTTATTCGGAATTTTTGATATAAAAATATTATAGTTATTCTCGATCATTATTATTCAAATATTATAATTGTTTTTGTCGACTTCTTGCATAAAACAAAATTATCATTAATTTAAAAAATTTTTGCTCTCACTATGCAAAGGTCTATGATAACATGCTAAGGCAAGGAAAAATAAATAGAATGCATTATTCTCAGGCATTTCAATATTTGTAAAGGTCTTTGAGGCATTAGTATTGAACATAATCATTTCACGAAAAAAAAGGAAGAGAAAGAAATTGATTTTATAAAATTACTTTTCAATCTTTCAATATTCATATACAACTAAACTATTGCTATCATTCTGATTTATTTCCTCCTCTTTTTTTTTTCATTTTGTTTATTTTTGTTTTTTCGCTAAATATTTTTTAACTAAATGAGAAAAAAACATATTTTTCAAAACTATTATTGCTTTGGTGATTCAATCCAAATGTTTATTTTCAATAATAATGAAATGACTAATGCTTATTTTAAATAATTTTGGCAAATTTCATTCAAGCAAAATTGAAATGATTTTGAAGATGGCTAATCCCTTAGCTTTCATCAATTCATGCAAAACGGATATTTCCTTCATTCTACTTTCCCATTCATATTATTGATATATTCCTATCTTCTTTCCTTCTTCCTTTATCACTCACTGTATATCAATTTATTTCCTTTCTTCCTCTCTCTCTCTCTCTCTCTCTCTCTCTCTCTCTCTCTCTCTCTCTCTCTCTCTGCCTATCTCATTTATATTTGCAATTTTCAATTTTAATTTTTCTCAAGCTTTTTCAAATTCATTCAATTTGTTAGCGAAATAAATTATTTTTATTTTCTTTCTTCCTTTCTTTCGTTCCTTTTCCTCCAAATTTTTATTTTGTGGAAATTAGGTGTTCTTTTTATTATTACTTTCAAATATGTGCATTATGTATATTATGTAAAATGAATTTTCAATTTTTTATTGCAAAATTTTAAAAATAATAAAATTCTTAGTTTATTGTCTGTTTACTTTTACTCGTTCGAAAATTGATGAGAATTACGGAAAAAAAAGAAGAAATAATTTTTGCAAGAAAAAATACATATAACAATTTTTATTTAAGGTGTGAATGAAGAACGTATATTGCAATTACTGCAAGAATTACGACAACGTGAAAGTGATGACGTAGTGAAGGAAGATATACGTATACTCAAATGTGTTCTTCAAGATCTCATTTCTCGAAAGCAAAATTATAAGGTTAATCTTTCATTCATTATATTTTATCAGATTAAACTAAATTGAAAACTTTTTCTCTCTTTTTTATATTGCCTCTTTGGCCCTCCTTTTTTGTGCTACTTACATTGAAGAAGTAATAAAGTATTGTTAAATTATTATACTTATTTTGAAACAATTTCTAAAACTTGACAATATTCCATAAAATAATAATAATACATGTTAATATGGCTTAAAAAAAAAGAAATGAAGAGATGTTTACTTTGATCATTCAATGCTAATACCAAAATTAGGAAAAAAAATAAAACATCTAATTAAATAAATGAATTAAATTAAGACTATAATGATGGGTATCATAGAATTGTTAATAATGGCTAAGCTTTGAATCTATTTAATAATCATTTTGTATATGCTTGGCTTGTTTGTCGCTCATTTTTCCTCACCCAAATAAATATATTTTAGGTTGTGAAAAAATTGTCCTCAGCATTTTATAATATTTTATGAAATATGCAGTGCTTTTTTAAACGAAAAAGAAATTTTCAATAAAATTTTATTTTGCAACGATAGGAAAAAGTTTAAAATGAATAGAAAGCGGAAATATTTGTAAATTGATGTTAAAAATTTCATATTGGATGAAATAAATTTCTTATATTTGGAATGAAATCTTTAAGGAAAATACAATTGTAATTAAAAATTTGAAATGTTGAAGATATTAATTTTAATTCCTTATAAATGTATTTTTCCTTTTTTTTTTTTGTAGAATTTGTCAATTTCGTCCCCTGCTAGAAAAAATAATCATAAATTATCAACTTATCAAACTGCATCATCATCTTCAAAGTTGTGCAAAGTAAAAGTTTCAAGTAAGATTTAATTTTTTCATTTGACTGCTTTATAACGAGTTTTTTTTATTTTATTATTTTGTATTGCAAAAAATTTCTTCTGAAAATATATTTCCTAAATAACTTTCACACACTATCCCATGATAGCTTTATATTTGATCGAATTGTGTTGCAGCTAACAATGTATTAAAATCGAATTCACAATTTCATAATCTTCTCAAATATTTGGAAAATGCATTGGTACCCCATGTGAAACAAACAGAGGTTTCCATACATTTTAATTTTTTAATTTTAACTTTATTTATATAATTCTTTGTTTTTTTTCCTATTCATATTTTACAGATATTTTATGCATTCAGATAAATTTTTCCATGTCTTCGAATATTTTAAAAATCCATCGTATCATCATGTTAATGCTATTTCACAGGACTGTTATCGAAATTGAACTGCAGTAAAAGCAAAAGAATTTTAATTGGTAAATAAAAGTAACTGTAAATGCAACAATTAAACTTTTATCAATTAAATATTTCATTTGATATTACAGTGCATACTTTTATCAGTTTGATATTTTCCAAAAACATTTTAGAAACTAATATTTGTTGGTCAACAAGTGCAAGAAATTCGTAATTTAATTGTAAAATCTGATGAAAACGGCGAGCGATTAATTGTTATTGGACCAAAAGATATAAAAACGAAGTAAGTAATGTTAGAATTAATGTAGTTTTCAAAGCAATGAATGGATTTAAATTATCAAATTGATCGATTTATGTTCAATTGCACATTTTTTTTTCCAATTGTATGAGTAATACATGTATGAACTAAATGGAAAAAATCACAAAGAATAATAGAAATTTCAAAGATTTTTAAAATTTTATAAAGTTTTAAAAATATTAAATAACTCACAAATTTATTTTTCCTCTTTCTTTCTAATTTTGATTTTCATTTCTGTGCACTTTTAATTAATTTAATCAAGCAGTGCAATTTATGTAATTTATCAAAACTTAAATAGTCGCAGTAGTTGTTAAAATAAAATTAAGTTATTGTTCAGCAAAAATCAAACTTTACTTTAACATTTCATGAAATTAATCTTATTTAGCTTTCAAATCATCACTTTCGAACACTTCGAACAATTTTCGTTCTTATTTTTAGCAAATTATTTTGTTAGCAAAAAATTTAAACTTTTTAAAGTTTTCGTTTTTTCCTTTCTTTTATTTTTGTTTACTAATAAAATGTATTAAAATGATGCGAATTATTTTCAATGATATAAGCTATGATAACAATAGCAATTATGCCGTTATGGCTAAAAATATGATAGCTGATTAATGAGGAAAATGATTGATTGTATTTATAAATTGACTTCTTAACTTTTCCTGTCCCAAAGGATTTGTCTTTTAACGTTAAATTTCAAATTTTTCTTTTGTAAAAAAATTTTCTTACATTAATTCTTTTTTTTTGTGATTGCAAATTTATAATATTTTATGCGATCACTTAGATGATAAATATCTTTCGTTAGATAACAGCTAATGGAAAAGGTTTATTTGAGTTAAAATTAAAACATTGTTGATAAAAAATATTGTATTTTAGGACTTTATTAAAATCAACCCAAATTTCTTCAATATATGACATCATTGATTTAGTAAAAAATCAAATTTGCAAAATATGAATGAATTATTTTTTTTTAAATAATGGATAGATAAATATTGATGTACTGTCGATGATATCGGTATATTCAGTTAGCTAAGAAATTTGTATAAATTTGGAATGATAAAAGATTAAAAACGATAAATACTATGATATTAATTATATTACTCAAATGAACTATGATATTACTTATTATTCAAATACCGCTGTTAAAATTACTATTGTTGCAAAATTAAATTTTATTTTCTAAATAATTTGTTTAATTAGTAAAATAATGAAATCATTGTATAAATTTTGCATATCACTTCTATTGAACTAATTAGAAGGAATATCTTTTAAGAACGTTTACTTTTCAGCTATAATCTTTTTCGTGGTATTTTTTTTCATTTGAATGGAACAACGGTAAACTTATCGTCCATTGCTTATATTCAAGCCATGGGCCAATTCATCTAAAAAATGAGTATTTGGGCCATATATTAAAATGGTTTGATAGACTTATTCCTACTTATAGTTGTCAAGCAACTAAAAAGCTCCGCAATTATTGCCAGTAAATTCAGCAGTCAATGTTACAATCATTTCTAAAATCTATTTCCTAATTTTTTTCTGGCTCAATTTTTATTTTTCTTCAAGTAACGTGATTTTAAATGGAAATATTTTTAAATAAGTGTATCAATTCTTTATTATCTAATAGAAATAATTTTGATGATGCTATTTAGAACATATAATTTTAATGTATTTAATGATAAAGCATTTCTCTTATCAGTAATACAATTATGCAACATTTTCAATTATAATCATAGCTAATCATTTTTTTTTCGATATTAGCATTATTTCAATATTTTTCGGATGATTGATGAATTATTTCATTATTCAATTTTTAAAACTTAGACAATTAATAAATACAGCAAATAGCAACTGGTAAAAAAATAGAAAAAATAAAACGCTTGGAACATTAGCATCACGCGTTTTATTTTTCTATTTTAATTTTTGATATTGAAACTTTATTCGATAGTCTATCATTCATTCATTATTTCTTTTCTCTCTCTCTCTCTCTCTCTCTCTCTCACTTTCTTTCCTTAAAAAATTGTCTCGTCTGATTTTAGCCAAATCTTAAAGCCCATAATAATTTTCTCATTCAAAAGCCTTAATTGATATCTATTGGCTGTGGGAAAATTAACAGAGGCAGCAAAATCAGTTATATCAAAATTTTTTATTTCATTTCAGTGAAATGTTTTATTGAGCATATAAGTAAAGCATGTAACAAAAATATTATTTATAAGTGTGGTCTACGTTAATTATAATTATTACTGACTGTTGTTTACAATCATTAACCTGTTCCTATGACTTTAGCATATTCATTCCATTTATTGTAATTTAAATTTTTTTTCGCAAATTCTAATCTTTTGTTTGTTCATTTTAAAAGTTTGCTTCAACTGTTTAATTGCTAATAAAATAGGAATTTTATCCTTTACATATCTATCTCACACATTCTCTCTCTCTTTCTTTCTCTCTATTTCTTTCTCTCTCTTTCTCTCTCTCTCTCTGTTTTTGATAAATTTTTAATGGATGTTATTGAAACAAAACTGTTGTTGCATGTTTAGCAATCTTCTCATTTATAATTTAGCAATCTTATAAAAAGATAGCTAACTCTTTTCATCTTCATTTACACTAATATTATTTAATCAGAAAAAAAAAATAATTACCATTAAAACATATCAATCGATTAATTGATCAATTTAAATATTGATATTTCTTTCTAAATATGATAGATTTTTACTTTTCAAATGTTACAAAATTTAAAATAAAAATAAATAAAATTCACCAATTTTAAGTTATTAATTATGAATAGAGATTATTGTTGAAAAATGGAACATTATCACATCGATGATATTATCGCATTATTATGTAATTTAATTTTTGCGCACGATGACAAATGCGCACGATAATTTTAAAAGAGTTGAAATGATTGGAAAAAAAAAGAAATGCTCATTTGAAATGTTGCCATTCATTTCAGTTTTCATTATGGACAAAGTGGTTGATCGATTGTGAAAGAGTTACATATGGGAATAGGCTAACATATATGAGCAAGTCGATATTTACATACCTGTGTTATAAACAACCCATAGCCATATATTTAACTGAAAGAGCTAAAAATACTGCCAAGTTTCAGTATTTTTGGCCTAACTGAAATATTGGCTCATATATATATATATATGAGTCAAAGATATATTTTTTAAAGTATACATTTTTATCATTGTAAATATATTCTATATGTACAAGATATATTTATTTTGATAAAAAGGAAGAATAATATCGATCTGCCGATATGCTCTTAAAATTATTTTTGATACAAATATGTTTGAATACTTTTGGTTCAAAAAATTTTTTCCAATGACATTTATAATTTGCGTTTTATTTTAAAATTTAAGCGATGCTGAGTTTTTTTTTTTTGTCAAATTGATAAACAGACACGAAGGAGGAGATAGAAAGGGTTAGAAAAAATGATAAGCGTAGGTAACTATGAAAATAGCTTATGAAACTTTGACATCAGACCGATCGAATGATAAGTGGAAGAGGAGAAAATTTGAATAAATATTTGCCATATGTGATCATTTTGATATTACTACTAATGATAAGCTTATCATCTTATCAATTGATATAAAATAGAAATGTTTATAGTGTCAAGATGATTGTCTGTTTTCCAAAATCTATTTTTATTTTATCATTCCAGTGTGCTACTTCTTTCTAAATAATTTGAAACCACAAGCTAACATGAAATTTTGAAACGAAACAAATTGTTGAAATCTGTGAATTATTAATTATCATTTTTCATCCTATAATTTACATATATATGATAGGTCACTACTGAATGCGCAACTTATTGTTTGAACGTTAGGAATTTCAATAATTATCGAAATTTCAAATTTAATAAAATAGCTGTTGAAAGATTGCAAAACTTACCCCCATTATTTCATACTATTAAAGATATTTTTCCACACTTTAAGTATTTCATAAATTAATTTCCTTGTCAATTAATATAAACAAATAATTGTCAGTTACGAAATTGAAATGCGTGTAAAATTTCATTTACAGATATTCTTGTTTATTGTTATTTCTGCGAAATTTTCATTTATATTCCTATCAGTTATTTTAGTCCTAAAATCAATAATTTTTTCTATTATCATTAATAATGCTAAATTTCCATTTTCATTTTCAGCAATTTCTTTAAATTCAAAATTTTGCAATTTTTGTTTACATTTCAAAATATATTTCATTATTTTGTTTACTTTTTATTTCATTGTTTATTATAGCAATTCAGAGGAGAGTATAATTTTGATGAAACTAATATAAATCATTTAAAATGAAACAAGCAATTTTCTTAAAAATTTACAGATCCCGTGGTCGAATTCACATTGGTGATCAAATTTTGGCATTCAATCAGCATTTTCTCAGTCCATTACCATTAACCGGAAAACCACAAACAAATCCTGCCTCTCCAATTTCTTCCACACAGCATGTTGACGTAATTGTTTCAAAATTAGCTCTGACAATTTTACGAATAAAATTAACAATATACGTATACTGTTAATTTATTCGTAAAAAGTTTTTAATTGTAGTAAAACAAACGAAACACAAAAGTGAAAAAAAAATTCATATGACAGACAAATGAATTAAAGAATGAAAAAAAAATGAAAAAAGAGAATAATTTGCAATAATCTGCAATCTTATTACGGAAATTTTATTAAAATTCAAATTGAATTACAATTTAAATTATACCAATTTTTATAATTTATACATTCCCAGAAGAAAAAAAAAATTAAACTATCATGCCAATTTTAATTGACAATTATAACGATATTCCATAATAAAGCTATAAATAAAACATAAAAACAATTGATTAATTTAATTGACTTTAAAATATTTTTTTTAAAAAAAAAGGGTAAAATTTTAATTAAATAAAATAACATTAATTTTTTTTTTCGTGATCATTTTTTCTTTTTTCTAATCTTTTCGTTAATTTAAATTTAGATATGTAATCAATGTGTGAGCAAGATAAATTCATCATGCAACAACATAAATGATTATCAGTTAAGCGAAAAAAAGAGCAGCAATGTCGGTAAAATTAGGAAGGAACAGAGAGAAGAATTAAAATCGTTAAATTATTTGAAATTTACGGAAAAAGCTTCAACAAATACTACTACTACTACTACTGCTATCATTACTGGGAAAAAGAGTGGAAAGGAAAGAGAGAGAGAGGAAAGATCGACAACTGCCTCAGATTTAGTCTTGACTCAAACGGATAATTGCGATAATGATGATGATGATGATGATGATGATCGTGAAGTGCCTAAGAAAGATGAAATATGGAAATTTGATAGTGAGAACGTTACAGCCGTGTTTTCACCATCATCTTCTATTCAATCAACGACAACATTAATAGATCGGTACGAAAAGCTTATTGAAAATTTTAACGATCATAAAAATTTTGTGTACGACAACAACGAATCAAAAAATAGCACATCAATTATTGTTGTTACGTTATTACGTCAATCACCGCATATGGTCGTACGTTTTTTCTCTTTTCTTTCAATTCTAAACGTTTTTTTTTTTTTTGTTCTTAATTTTTATTTCAACTTTAATTTGCATTAAAAATTCTATTATATCAAAGTTTTACAAAAAATGATTTTCGTTTTTTTTTTTTGATGTTTATATTATAATATGTAAAATAGAAGAAAAAGAAAAAAAAACGAATAATTTGGTTTGATAATGAGAATTTTTCTTTAAATTTTGCACATTGCAGTTGACGAGTGATTGGACCGAGGTACAAATTATACACCTCCCAAATATTCCCGGTATTGGATTAGGTTTTGGTATTGTTGGTGGTACTTCGAGTGGTGTTGTTGTCAAAACGATTCTGCCTGGAAGTGTTGCTGATAAGGTTTGATTATAAACAGAGAGAGAGAGAGAGAGAGAGAGAGAGAGAGAGAGAGAGAGAGAGAGAGGGAGAGAGATACACATTTTTGTGATAACATAAATGGTACAGTAGAGTAAATTTATGAATTACTGATACAGTATCACTACTAGCTACAGTAACAATAACTTATTGATGGTTCAGCAGTTTCGAACTAACGATTCAGTTTAATTCTGAAGCATAACTATTAATAAAATAAACATTTAACAGTAAACATTCAATTATAGTAAATACTACTAATTTTTAGCTGTAACGCATAAACATTAATAATACTTACTATAATTTATTAGCTTATTTATAAAATAGACTTTTCAATTTTTACTTGTTTATTTTATGATTTGTTATTAATTTTAAAATTTTCTTTCTCTTTTTTCAAAATCTTTCTTAAGCTATAATTGAGAAGTTAGAATTGAACAAAATGGACTCAGTTCTTTTTTTTTTTAAATCACATTTTAAATTGATAACTATGAAATTTAAAGGATTGCAATTTTTTTTATTTTGCTTTTTTTTTTTCATTCCTATTCATCCCTATTTATTTATTTTCTTACACTGTGCTTTATAGTTGAAAAAAAAATCTTTGCAGTAACTTTGCATCATTTTGCTTTTTTTTTTTTGTTCTATCACTCAAAAGAATTTTGATGTGAAATTTCTCAGTCACATAAAACACTAAAACATTTGTAAATATGCGAAAAAAATTGAATTATGTGAATGATCATATCAATTTAATTTAATTTTAAAATGAATAATCATACAATATAAAAATTTCTTGCTTATTTTTGTTTGTTTTTAATTGTTGTTTTCTAAATCTTTTCTTCCATTTTTTTAATTTAATAATTATTTAATTTGATTTAACTTTAACATTTTCCATTTTTTCTTCAGGATAAACGTCTACGCCCCGGTGATCATATATTAAGAATACGTGGAATTAACGTTCATGGGATGAGTCCACAGCAAATAGCCACCTTACTTAGGCGACAGGATACATTGATTGAATTGGTAGTAGGAAGGCCTGCGCTTGCTTCGGACAGCTGTAAAGATACTAAAGGTTAGATTTTATTTTTTTTCCTTCGCAAAATTAAAATTTTAAATGTTAGCATTTTAGATAAATTTATTGCTTTGCTACTGGAAGTTATTCGAAGTGATTCGTTCTTTTTTTTTCATTTCTATGTTCCATTTCAATAATGTCAATTCTCAATCAATTCGCTTCTCCTCTCTCTTCTCATCCCATTTTCTTTTAATTAAATAAATTATCAATTAATAGGCTATTGCTGCTCATTAATTCGGTTTCTTTTTTTTTGTACCTATTTATTCAACAAAAATTTTCTAATTTTTTTTTTCGATTTTTCAAGAATTTGCATATTCTTAAAATAAAAAAAATCCTAGAAACAATTAGAAAATATTGGAATTTTTTTTGATCAACCAAACAATTCCATGACAAATTCATCGTTATCATTTGTATAATTCGTACATTTCATTGAGCTATTATCTGATAAAATGCATTCATATAAATTGATTATTAATTGGTTTTTTTCTTTCTTTTTTTTAGGCAGAATAATATTCAATGAGGCGATTTTTTTTTTTTTTTTTTTTAAATTAATGGGCCATTTTTCTTTTGCTGATGCATGTCTGTCTGTGTTTACATGTGTGTTTGTATACGTGCACATGTGGGTTTGTGTGTGCGTGTGCATGTGGGTTTGTATGTACGTGTGCGTGTGGGTTTGTTTGCATAGTGCATGTGTATGTCTGTGTATGCGTATGTATACGTACGTGTATGCATGTGTTTGATGCAAATGCGTATATTAATCAGTATTCGTGGAATGTGTAGTGAAATTTTTCTCATTTATTTTTTGCTAAAAAAATTTGTAGTGAAAATTTATAAATGAATTATCGATATGGGCATGTTTATATTTATGAGATGGACAATTTTTATTTCACATATTTTTTCTTAATAAACTTTCTTATTTCTTTTCAAACTTTATGAT